ATAAGAGATCCTGATTCGATTTAGAACACTTTGGTTTTGAACTTCTGATCTGGATGATTTAGTAATGATTTCGATTTTTAATTTTTTTCTTCTATAATATAACTGGTGCCGATCAAAGTTTGCTACTTGGCATCATAGGGATTTAGATTCCTGGACATGTCAAATATTGATTTGATGTCAATTTGTTATATACGGCATCTATGTCTATGCTCTTCGGTGATGGGTATTGATAAGTGACTTAATTCAAGTTTGGGTTTTAGTGTTTGCTTGAAGTTGATTTGGGTTTTTTTTTTTTTTTTAGCAGCTTCTAATGGCGATGGAGGTTACCCAAATTCTTCTAAATGCACAGTCAATTGATAGCACTGTTCGCAAACAGTCAGAAGAAAAAATCCTAAAGATCTTGGGTTTTAAAATTAAAATAATTTTTTTTTTTTTTACATTCAAGATGGTCTCCTCTCTCTTAATTTTCAATTGCTGCGTGGGTTGCTTGGGTTTTAAAATTATTTTTTTTAAAATAAAAAAATCCTTCGAAATTAATAAGAAACTCCCTGCATCCGAGGACTAAATACAAAGACAAAGATATAATCCATTGAAATTAACTTTGGATGAACTCATAAAGATTAAAGTACACACAGAGAATGTTATACATGCATATATATATATATATATTTTGTGCTAATCTTTTCGTATTGAAAATCACATTAAAATCAATAGTCCTCTTAATAAATTTGGTCAAAATCAAAATCTGAAAATTCATCAACTGGTGGCAAAGTTGAAAAGATATCTGTGGTGCGTGGCTCAACAGTTGAGAAAGATGCAGTTGGTGACTGCAAATAGTACATTCTGGACAGTGTATCATCTCCTGAATGAGTCCCCCAAGGCGAAGGAACTTCTAAAGTTGTTGAACTGGCTGCAGCATTTTGAATCATTTGGTCCGGCTGTGGAATGCCATCACTTGACCCAACATGGGGACTTTCCGGGCAACCACCACGCTTCTTGTATATTTTACAAAAAACAATATCATCATCCCTGCCAACTTTAACACGGCTTGAGTCCAAGATGTATTCTCTCATCAACCATTCTGTTTTCTCGCCATCTCTTATATATCTGAACGACCTCTTCTCTCCCCACTCAATGTTCTCATCAGCCTTAATTTTTTCTACATCCTCTACATCCCTAATTTTTTCTAGAATTTTTTCTAGATACCCGTACTGACGCCATCGAGAGTTTCCAGCGTATGTTGCTATAGCCCTGTCGATTTTCTTTGCTCTTTCTGTTTTCGTTTTCCTTTTCCAAAAATACCAACCCGAATTATTTGCCCGGTTCATTCCTGCGTCAGCAAATTCAACGTTAGAAATTAATAAAATACGTATATATGGTACATATTTAAACACTTTTCGAAATAACTTTTATATTACGTAAAAAAATAACACTTATTTTACATGAAAATAATTTTCAAATATTGAGTCTACTAATCATTTTCTCAAATCAACAACAGAGCGATTATTCCACTCTACGAAAAAGAAATCAAGATTTGAAACGATTTTACCATAAAATCATGATTTTATATTAAAAAATTAAATTAAAATTACAAAAAACATGTAAATAGAGTATTTAAAAGAAAATTAAGATGTATAACTAATTAAATATACCTGGTCTCTATGACTATGACCATGTAAAAACTGTGACAAAAAAAATTAAAATATAAAAAAGGATAACATTTTCAATAAAGTTTAAAAAATTCTAATCTACTATAACAGTTATACAAAAACTACTCTAAATAGTTTTCTTCGATTTGTTAACAAAAACTACTCTAAATAATTTTCTTCAATTTGTTAACAATTGAGATAGAGCTGAGAATCCTTCAATGGACAAGACCAGGAAGGAGAAGAGGAAGGAGAGGAAGAAGATGAAGAGGAAGCAGCTCAGGAAGGAGGCGGCCGAGAGGGAGAAGGAAGCCGAGGAGGCCAGGCTTAACGACCCCGACGAGCTCAACAGGTTGGAGAGGGAGGAGGATGAAGAGAGGGAGCGGAGAGAGAAGGCGTTGAAAGAGTTCGAGGAGAGAGAGCGGGCTTGGATCGACGCCATGGAGAGGAAAAGGCAGGAGCAGGAGGAGGAAGCGGAAGCGGAGGCGGAGGAGAACACAAGGAAGGATCTAGAAGAGAAGGCCAAGGGAGAAAAAGAGGTTTGTTTGTTAGATTTTTTTTTTTTTTTTTTTTTGGCTCTTTCTCTCTTCCTGGTTGTGAGTTTTTATCATCTACTATTATTCCATGACAGAATTTGATCGCTTAATTTCAAATATTTGGTCTCTTCTTCTTCTTCCATACTATACTGGGCAGGTTGAGCAAGAGAATGAAGATGATGATGATTGGGAATATGTAGAGGAAGGGCCTGCAGAGATTATATGGCAAGGCAATGAGATAATTGTGAGGAAGAAGAAAGTGAGGGTTCCAAAGAAACATGTGGACCAAACAAGTAAACAAGAGGTAAACCAATTATATGCCCATTCATTCTCCATTCTGCTTGTTTTTCTGGGTAGAGAATGAATGCTATGCCAATAGTTTGAACTGATGAAAAGGATTTTGTTTTGCAGCTTGTTGATAGGCCAACATCCAACCCTCTTCCTCCACAGTCTGATGCTTTTGCTGATTACTTGAATGCATCTTCAGCCCAACAAGTGTTGGAGACTGTTGCTAAAGAAATACCTAACTTTGGAACTGAACAGGTCTCTTTTTCTATTTTGTTCTCCCTCTTGCAAACACATTATATGTTTTTTATGATTGTTATGGATCTTTCTCCCTTCTATTGCTTATATTCATGGCAGGATAAAGCCCATTGTCCTTTCCACTTAAAGACGGGAGCTTGTCGATTTGGTCAGCGCTGCAGCAGAGTCCATTTCTACCCTGATAAATCATGCACGTTGCTTATCAGAAACATGTATACTGGTCCTGGCCTTGCTTGGGACCAAGATGAGGGACTTGAGGTCTGTACATGCTGCCTTCATGCCGTTCTTGTATCCTGATAACAACACTGCTCAGTGAATGTGCTTTCTCTTTTTTCTTTTTTCTTTTTTTTTTTTTTTCCTTTTTTGAAATAATAGTAATTCTATGGTAATTCTATTTTCTATCTTCTATCTGATTGCTATTCTGAAATCATATTGTCTCTGTACGTAGATATATTTTTTCTGTCCTTGTAATTCATTTCATGGTTTGTATCTTATTATGCAAGCATTATTTTCTAGAACTGCATTTTAGATCCAGTTTTAGCTTTGTACTTGATATTGCTTCTCTTTAACTTAAACCATAGATTTTTGGACTCACCTTGATCAGGGTTCGAAGTTTTGGCCTTGATTAGGTTGGACCTAGAGCTGTTGGCTTTTCTGTATCCTACTTGCTGGACATGGGAGTGGTTATCTTATTATTATTATTATTTTATTATTATTATTATCATTTTCTGTTATTCTTTTCTGTTTGTTTGCTTCTCTTTTTTCTAGTCTGTGTGTTTCCTTAAAAATAATCATTGTCCCACCTTTTGTGAAGTACTCGCTGTTCTAGTTACTGAGGAAATTTATATTAATGTTGAATGAAATTTCATCCATTTGCAATTCTTATAGGACTCATAAAGATTTATATAGCAATGGGTTTTGAGGAATATTCTTTTGTTGGCAGTTCATTTGGTTACTTCAGTTAGGTATTTTCTCCTTGACAAATGGTAGCTTGTTTGGCAAACGTGGTAATTTTAGATGTTTATTAAGCAGAGGTCTTGCAACATGAGGGGTAAGATTGGGGAGGCTTTTACCAATTTATATGTCATTTCAATTGATGCTCTTGTTAAAGTGTTTAAGGAAATTTAAAACAAGATTTTTTTTTTTTTAATATAATAAGAATCTATCTCCATTCATTTAATTGTTATATATTGGCCAAAATGCATGTTTAATTGGACTGAGAAAAAAATAATAGTAAAATGAAGAGAATAACCTCAATAGAGGGGGATAGAGAGAATAGTGATAGGGCAGAGAGAGTTGAAGAAAGTTGGTTCTGCAAGTTGTGAAAGTTTACTAAATTTTTAGTTTTGTTTAGTTTAGCAATCAATTCTTTTATATCCCATGAACATGGTCTTTTGAATTATATATTGCAGAATAAATGAACTCATTATACTCTGTTATGTTGTGTATTCTGCATTTGCTTGATTGGGATCAAATTCAGTTTCTAACAGATTGGTTTTTTATTGTTTTGTTTTAATAATTTCTTTTTGAGCGTCAGAAAAGAGCATCTGGTGTTCCTCCAACACTCTTAAGATGGTACCATTGACCGAGAAATTTGACCTTTGGCTTTCAATGCATTACTACTCATATGGGTGCTTTTGTGACTTAATCAGTTTAACCTTTTCTTTTTTTGTCTGTCTACTCTGCATTCTCTGCATTATCATTCTTCCAACAGGACTTCTTCCCTGTTATACACATGGATTTTTTTATCAGCCCTGCTATACAAATGGATAATTCACTTGCCAATGCAGGACCATTAATAATCCTAATTATATTCGTTTCCAGTTTTATTATTTTATTGGCTAGTTTTAGTCATCTATTGTTTTCGTATTCAGATCTTTCAACTTGCAGTATTTACAGTAACAAATCTTTCTTGGGTGGTTTATTTCCTGCCCATTTCAGCATACTGATGAAGATGTTGAACGCTCTTATGAAGAATTTTATGAGGACGTTCATACAGAGTTCTTGAAGTTTGGGGAAATTGTGAACTTCAAGGTTTCTAAATACTGTTTTTCATTATACTATATAATGATGTCACACACCCCTTTTATATGTATGTGTGTGTTTGTGCATATCTCTATTGGAGGCACTCTACTACTTCCCTTTGCTTCTTTGAACAATTTATTCTTAGAGAATTTGCAATATGAGAAAAATGTAACAAAAAACTAGCATTCACCCCTTTTAAGCAAAAAAATAAGATTTGTGGACCTTTTTTAGTTTTTCAAACTGCTTGGAATTGTGCAGATAAAATAGTATTTCATTTGTTTTGTGCTCATTATTTCTTGGTTTGAGCCAAAGTTCATTTTACTTTTCTCCTCCTGTTTTTCTTTGTCACCAATTGTAATATCTTTAATAGGTATGTAAAAATGGTTCATTCCACTTGAGGGGAAATGTGTATGTGCATTATAAGTCATTGGAGTCAGCTGTTCTTGCCTATCACTCTGTCAATGGCCGGTACTTCGCTTCAAAACTGGTAATTCATTTCCTTCAAGTTTAGTTTTTGGGCATCTTTTTTGGTTGTTGGTTTGATGAGTTAAAAATGTTTTGGGACAGCTAAATTGTGAATTTGTCAATGTCACCAAATGGAAAGTTGCCATTTGTGGGGAGTTCATGAAATCTAGACTCAAGGTACAACTTTCTTATGTTAGCTTGAGATGTTGAAAGTTTTGGAGTTGTCAACATTGTCACCAATTTATGCAAACTATCTCCTGTTGATCTGTCTAGTCACATATTAACAGACATGTTCGCATGGAAGTGCTTGCAATTTCATCCACTGTTTCCGCAATCCTGGTGGAGACTATGAGTGGGCTGATTGGGATAAACCACCCCCAAGATATTGGGTAAAAAAGATGGCTGCTCTATTTGGCTATTCTGATGAATCCAGCCTTGGAAAAGAGATTGAGCATGGCTATTCAGGGCAGCCAAGGAACTCTAGCAAGATGATAACATCAGATGCAGATAGGTGTGTATTTTTCACTTTATAGACATAAATCTTCCTCCCTTATTTTTGTATGTTAGCCCATGCTTGATGATTTAATCTTGTCTGGGTTGTCCTTATTGCTTTTGCCTATGCTGTCTTCTATGCAGTGCCCTTTTTTTGGTTTTCTTTTCTTATAACCTATTAAAATATTAGAGCCCGATTCCTCAAATATCAAATTACAGGACTAATGTGATTCTAAATTACTTAGGAGTCCTGATATTTCCTCGTGTCTTCCTTTTTTCTTTATAGTAACTGCTCAAGTTTTGCCAGATCAAGAGACACGGATAAAATGATTAGTGACTCTGGTAGAAGCTGTGACAACGAGGAGAATATTAGAGGCAACATTAGTCAGAAGAGGCATATTAATGATGAAAGAAAATATGCAAAAGTTTTAGATGAAAAATTTGGTGAAGCAAGGAAAAGTTATAAACGTAATTATCTCAAGAGACGTGTTGATACCTCTGATGGAAGTTGCTCAGATATGGACATGGATGGATATAGGGATGGTTATCGAGTTCAGCACAGCAATCATGTGAAGAAAAGCTCAAAACACTGCAGTGAAGTGTTGGGGTACTCAGATGATGATGAGGTGACCGAGGACAGAACCTCTGAATCTGATTCTGGCGGGGATTACTCAGACAAGTATGGACGTAGACAGAGCCACCTTGGCCACACAAAGAAAATATCAAGGCACCGGAAAAGGGGCGAATTCCAAGACAATGATGGAGACAGTCAAAATAAAACTTATAAAGATGATGGAGGTCAACTAAATAGGAACAAAAACTTTGAAACACGTCCTGGCCAAACACGGAAAAGCTCACAACACCGGATGGAACCACGATCCCCAGATGAGCAGCAATACAGCAAGGGCAGAAGTCACGAGTCTGATTCCTCTGAAATGGAATCAAGTAGAGACAGAGAGAAAAAAAGACAACATCATCATGGACGTAGACACTCAGGACATTGGGAAAAAGTTTTGGAAGCGCATGATGATTCTGGTAGCACCAAATTTAGGCATCATGGTAGCCATTCCAGTGATAATGGGTTTGATTTAGACAGGGAAATACCTCGTACTCAGATGAGCTCACTTTCTCAATACTCTAATGAACTTTTAGAGCAGCAAGCAAAGGAATTGAAGGGGAAATCAGACGTAAAAAGATATGGTCACTCAAGCAGCAGGCATCATGCACGCATTGAGACAAATGGAGGAGGTTGCCATAGTGAGGGTGTGAAATCAGGTGGAAAGTGTGATTCGAGTGATTTGGATAGATTTAAGTCACATGATCTTGAACGAAGTAACTTGAATAATCTTGGTGATCTGGATCGGTGGAAACCTGAGAAAGGTTTGGATGAGGGTGTTAATGAGCTGGATCGTTGGAAACCTGAGAGTCCTGAGGAAAGAGCAACAACAGGCTATGACAAATCTGGCAGTCGAGATCATAGCCAGTCAGGTTACAAGAGACACTCAAAGCAAATGGAAAAGGAGACAGATTCTTCCGAGGAGTATGGCGAGAAGCATCACATTGAACGTGGATCTCACCGTCGTAAGAGGCTACGTAAGAAATGAAGTCATAATAAAGCCGGAAAAGCATCTACATTTGTGAAATGATATTGATAATGAGAGTTTTGACGACAATAGTCTGGAAAACATGCTGATGCTGTATTACATTGTGGGGTGATTTTATTGTTTGTGTAGATTGCATTGCTCCATATATATGTAAGCTGTTTATTTAGTTACAGGAAGAAGTACCCTATGTACTTCAATTTCAATAACATTTTTCTTTGCCGATCAAAAAAAAAAAAAAAATGAAATGAGAGAGAGAGCAGGCAGGAGGTACTAGGTAAGGAAGAGGTACAATTACACAAGCAATATTAGGCCAAAATAAATACAGTTTGAAAATATGGATGTACTTGGATTTAAAAGGAAACGAGAATCAAAATTTTATTTTTTTTGGATGAACAGCAATGTTAGAATCATTTTATTACAGAGAGCAGCAGAACTGGTACTCCAAATCCTATTACAAAAAATGTAATAAGAAACAATTAAGAGCAAACAAAGCTACTGAAGCAGAAACATGCACTTGGACAGAACATTCTTCGCAGAACTTGTGCCAAAAATCAATTATCCAGGGCTTGCAGCAAAAGGTTTTATTTACGTCAATGTTTGAAAAGACAATTTGAAAGCTACCCTTGGATTTCTATACCAATGTTCCTGTGTTAACCCATTCAAATCAATTCATTTCTATGTACCAAAAAAAAAAAAAAAATCAATTCATTCCTGAACATATTCATTTTCGAATGAAGAAATACAAAATGGAAGTGATATATTTCTAAAATAATAAATTCATTCTATGAAATTGAAAATGGTTCCAATTCCCAACATAATTCATTCTTTTAATTAATAAGAAAAACAAAATTTCATGCTCAATACATTTTATGAAATTACACTTTTGAAACCAGGGAAGAATCAAATTTAACGCTATTACTTTTCCCATAAAAATTATGCATATCTCAGTTCTTTTTAACTTTTCCTATTTCCTCATTTTGGCTATTTGATCCTATTCCCAGCGTAGCAACCACAGCCAGCTACCCAAAAAACAAACACACACACACACACACCCCTTACAAGTATAGTGAGGCAGCAAATACTATATCTCTTTTAATCTTGGAAACAGCCTCCTCAAGTTTTGATTCCAGTTCTGTTTCACCAATTGACTTGGCTGCTACTATTAGCTGCTGAACAACTTCTTCTAATCTTCTGATGGCCCTGATTATGTTACCTTCAAAACCTGGTGCAATTTCCATAATCTCGTAGAACTTCGATCCTTTTGCCCAAGCATACACAGCTTCCATAATATGAGGCCGAAAGGTGCTTACAAAGCTCTCCACATCAATTTGGACCTGTACAAACAAGATCCACAGCCATTGGTGTCTAAGCTATGTCTAAAGTCACTATCATACCTAAAACAACACATCTGAGTTGCAAAATCAGACGAAACATTGCCAAATGATGTTCCAAAATACCTTGCATTCAAGCTGAAGTTTGGCAACTCTCCGAGCTATATCTTGTAATTGCGTAAAAAGCAATTCCAGTTCTTCCCTGGGCTTTGCAGCATCTTGGAGCTTCTCCTGCCACACGAGACAAGAGAGTAGAGCCACCATTTCCTCCACCTTTATATCCTTTAAAACGCCACTGAATATGAGCTCTGTTAGGGTCAACTCATCTGCACTACTTATCTCGCATGCAACCTTTCCCTTCAACTCGACAACATCATCACTGGTTATATATCTGGAACCATATGCACTCCAAATAGTTAAAAAAGGAGGAAAGCTAGATCCTTGAACAGGCATAAATGATCTGATCAAAATAAATCAATATTGATATAATGCAGGAGAGCTCACAAATCCAGTTTATGTTAGGTTTTTTTAACAACTGACCCAGATATTCATACCACAATCATCTAACATCATAGGATTATCGAATACACACATGGTACAACAACAATCAAATGGTAATAGACTAGAGGCATCACTCTACATGGAAGCAATGCTTAATTTTTCACCTTAAAATATCTCTCCAAATAAAGTTATGAAACCTGAAGGAATGTAGTTAAGGGAAACTGAAGCAATAACTGAAAGAAGTTTTAGTACCCTAGCCTCCGTAGAACCCGTTTTCTGGCCTTGAGTTCATCCTTAAAAGCCAATGCTGTTGAAGAACGCATTGCTTTCTTAATCGACTTGATCTTGGTTGACAGCTCTTCCTTCATGTGTAGAACTTTGAGCTTTTGCTCAATAAGTGGGGATTTTGCTATTTCATGCCTTTCAAATAGGTTCTCTAATGCCTCCAACCTTCGAACTGCCTTTTTGTACGAGCTACTTTGAATCTGGAAAGAAGATAAAATGAGTTTTTGATACTTAAATCTAATAGAGAACGGAAAAGAGACCACAGAATAACGCATTACATTCTCTCCAGGGATTAACATCCATAAACTAAATGAAGTAACCTACATTCATGTCTTCATCACGCAGGGGCATCCCATCAGGGTACCTAGAAATAACTTCTGAAAGCTTCTTCAGTGCATTCTCCCGGGCTTCCAATGGCAGAAGATCTTTTTCTATATTCAAGCATGCAATACTTAAGCAACTAACCTGTTCAAGATATGAAATAAATGATGAGTTATCCTTCTCTGGACATGAAACAAAAATAAACCAAAGAAGTTCAGAAGCATAGAATTGTAGGA